CCGTATTTAGGTTCACTTTAAGTTAACGGGGAGCCGCTCAATCCCATAGAGGGACTGTGATTGCACCAAAGAATCATGGGACACTATTGTGTATGTTGTTTACAAAATTAATCTTTTGTTATCCATTGTAATTTTAATCTAGAAAGTAAATTTGTTGTGAGATTAGGCTTAACTGGAAGTGTCCCTTTAAGTACCAAGGGTCTGCCCTAATCTGATTTACCACGTGATATATTAACCTATAATTGCCATAGCGACGAAAGCGTAAATTTCACACTGCCGCAAAGAGCGCGTAACAAGCGGAAACGAAGTCAATTTCCCAAGTCTACGGCCAAGACACTACGGTCTCTGACATTGTTTTCATCGACATTTTTTTTTCGAAAATTCGTCCGTCCTCCACAACAACATTCATTGCTAAATTGTAACAAATGTTTTTGCTTCAAAGATGTAGTAGAGATGTTTTATCCCATGTTAGTCGAAGTTTTGATATTTTATTATTATTATTATTATTATTTATTTCAGACAGAGTCCATATAAAGTAAATTACAGAACAAAAAGAGAAAATGAAATAGAGTTACTGTTTATAATAAAAACAAAACAGACATGCTACAAAATCAAAAAATCAAATTATTCCAGTACCACACCAACTGTGAGTTCCAACGTATGTCACTACTATATATTACAGAGACAATGCCATTTGTAGATGTATAAACGCGTTCAGTAAATAAAGATACTAGCTTTCTATTAAGACAAGGAAATATTTGTACTCAACACACATTGTACTGACACTACAATCATGTGGATATCCAAAAAAATTCCTGAAAGCATTGTTATAGGAAACCCCCATGGCATTAAGCGTAGACTTTCGAAAACAACACCATAATTGACAGCAATAAAAACTAGAGCAGTATAAGTTTTGAAAAGCAATTGCTTAACCTCAGTGCTACAGTTCACAAATTTTCGCAACAAGAGATTGGCACGAACACAAAACAAACGTCTCTGGCGATCAATGTCAATATTGTCTTTAAGATCGTAAGTAATTTTGTGACCGAGGTAGTTAAACAATTCAACAAATTCTAATTTATGACTACATAGATAAACCGGTGGTATATTACTCAATTTATGACGACTTGGAAAATACATACACTTTGTTTTCGTAGTGTTATAAATAATATCATGATCGTTAGCATATAACTCACATGTATGCAAAAGTTTGCGCAAGCCTTTGATAGAGGGCGCAATGAGGCACATGTCGTCTGCATAGCTTAAATTATTAACAGTTTTAGCACCAACCTGATAACCACATCCAAGCTTATTTAGTTCACGACCTAAGTCATCTAAATAAAGGTTGAGCAGGGCAGGGGACATAATACCACCTTGACGAACTCCGTTAGTGACCTCAAAGAAACGTGACAGGTTGTTTCCCCATCTAACACAGTAATGTTGGTGTCGATACCAGTTCACTAACAGCCGAGTAATATAGGGGGGGGGAATTTTACGGTGCACAAGTTTTTTAAATAATGTCCAATGGTTTACTCTATCGAAGGTC